GGTACAGCGAAGGCTCAAAATAACCCAGTAAACGGTTAACTCGACGATCACGGAGGACGAATTACGTCCCAATTATCCGGCTTTATACGTGAACGGACACATAGCTGAAAGACACTTGGCAATACTGTAAACTTATTGTCTAGCAACATTCTCATCGACTAAATTGTTGTGCTTTCCACGCTATCAGAACCAATTTGTATATTCATCCGGCTACAGCCATCGTACTGACAAAGTCCAGTTGTGGTACTGATTAGAAATGTCATACGACTTCATGGACCGAAACATTTCTTTCCGGGTTTTTTAATAAAAAACCAAAAAAAAATTTCTATTTTCTTTGCGTCATCCATTTTCAGGGCTAATTGATTCGGCAGGTGAATTGTTACACACTCCTTAGCGGCTTCCGACTTCCATGGCCACCGCCCTGCTGTTCTATATCAACCAACGCCTTTCGTGGAGTCTCACGAGCGGGAAGTTTGACACTTTAACTCAACGTATTATAATTTCTCCTTTTTTTTTCAACTTAATTTGGAATTTAACTTAATTAATGGATCGGTCCAGCGTATTAGTAGCGTCTACCTGGCCTCAAACACTGCGAACTTGTTGGTATCCTTTGCCCCTCCCGATCAGCACTCCACGAGAAACTGGTAGCTGCGCAGCAGTAACGGCTATTTCTTCTTCGTTCCCACAGTTACTTTTGCCATAGCTGCACGGCTTTTACCATTAGCACTCACTGCTTTCCCACAACTGACAATATTCGACTGTGTCCCTTTCATCGACCGGCCTACAGTGCCAAACAAACATCCATAGTTTGCATTTTTCAAAAATTTCCAAAACACTTATTTTGTATCATTTTGGCTAAGAATTATCTCCTCATTCCGAACGCCGCCGCTGGTGAACCTCGAATGAAGTACCTCGATTTGGATGAGTACAAACTTCTGTGAAAAAAAAAAAGGCGGAAGAGGAGAAAGGAAAAAGCCCCTATGAAAAACTACGATACCATTATGTTTACATAGCATTGCAGTTTTTTCCCAATGAGATCTGAGAGAAACGGCTAAAAGAAGCATGTGGAGTGATAAGGGGAAGATTACCTTCTTGGTCGCTGAAGAAAATGCATGAAGAATGGGTAAGTGTAGGAGAATTTCTAAAACAGCAGATAGAATTGTGTCGATTAACAAATTTCAACTCTGCTCAGAAAGAAAAAGATGCTGCAAGAGCACAATGCACGAAACAAGGAAGTGGATCTGAAAATCAACGCATCGAAAATGAGAGAGAGGTACGTGCCCACACTTACTTTAAACAATTGTTGTTTCATCATCGCGTTTCTTCTCATCACTGATGCGCCTGGCACCTCCATCTCTATTTCGGGCCCTTTTCATTCACACAGTTTTACACAGTCCGTCGAGCGGACTCGGCTTTCTCTGCATTCTCTAACACTGCGCGCCGATAATACCATCAGTGATTCGCCCTGTCCTCTCGCTCTCTTCCCACTACTGTCACGTGATCACTTGAACTATCCTTTCTGGCGTACACTGCCTTGATAATGTCACGTAGCAGACCGGAACGCAGTACTTCATTGGAGATGAGTTGCAACTTGCTGACGCTGTCGTGCATTGCTCCACGGCTCGTTGAGCGGCCGATTAAGTATAAACAGGAATGTATGCGACTTGATGGACCGAAACATTCTTATTCAGGTTTTTATTCAGACTTTAACTTATTCACATTCCCTTTTATTCTCTTACTTTTTACATAA